AAAAGTCGCCGACCTTTCTACGGTGTTCCAATGATGTCAAAGAGTGAGTGAGTGTGGCGTCACCCACCAGGCGGATGGCTCTTCTTTGGATGGAATCTAAGAGCATCAGCGTATGTTCTGGTGCTGAACCCCATATGTGGGAACAGTATTCTAGAACAGGCCGTACCTGCGCTTTGTAGATCATGAGGAGCTGTTGAGGTGTAAAGTAGCTTTTCGCACTGATAATATTCTCAAATTTTGAAATTTCAAGATCGCGGATCCAATATTGCTGACTTTTGTAATTATGATCCGATTCTGTAAAAAAATTGGTATCTGAGGGTTTTCGAGTTCGGAGAATATGATTCTTTCGTCAAATTTCCGAAATTTAAGATGGTAGATCCAATACGGCATACGAGTTTATTAATTATGATCCGATTCTATTCAAAATTGGTTTCTGAGGGCCACCAGGGTCTGAGATTATGATCCCTCCGTCATAATTATAAAATTCAAGATGGCGAATGCAATATGTCGAACGAGCTTTGTAATGAATAGTAGTTTAGAAAACTGAAGAGATAGATAACGGAACTGAAGAGAAGTAGATAATAAATAATACATAGTGTGAAAAACTAAGAGAACACGATTTTATGGTTAGTCAAACTAAGCTAATGTAGAAAATAAAATAAAAAAATTGTGTTGCTTGATATTCAACTGAAAAAGATTTTATAGGAATAATGTACATAGCAAAACAACGTTTGCCGGTCAACTATGATCAATAAAATGACTCGAAATAAATTCAATATTTTGTACTGTCTTTCCTTCAAATGTATTTTAGTAAGTAACGTAGCAACGCGCGCAGGGAAAAAATGTTTTCCTCCGATTGGCAGCAAATATTAATTTTGCTGACACATAACGATCAGCAAAGTATTACTTTTCCTGCCTAGGCAGCAAAGTGGGTACTTTGCTGCCTAGGCAGCAAAGTGGTTACTTTGCTGATTGATATGTATCAGCAAAATTAAAAATCCATAAATCGTTTATAATTTCCTTCATATTCCATCCGAGACTTCTCCGGCAACAAATTCAACTCTATATTTTTTGCCACCTCCCTTATTAATGGAGGTGTAAGTATACTTCCAGGTCGCTATCACTGTCCATTATATAATAATTTAAATATACCGATATTTTTTCGCACAACTGTCAGAAATTTCATGAATTGTCAAACCAACAACTGCGATTTCTATCAAATTTTATTTTAATTGAACACTATACAGGAAGAATTAAGAGATTGTGTGAATTGTATTAATTCGCAAATACAATATTCTCCCATATCATTATGAACAATCGGAGAAAAAATTATATGTTCAACTCGGCAGCAAAGTAGATTGACTGCCGTGGCTGAATTCATAGCCTAGTTAAACAAATAACTATTCCTGTTATCTTTCTGGTTGTTATTTGGTAAGTAAATTTGCAGTGCGAAAATGGATTTTTTTCTACTACTGCTATGGAAAGTAGCGCATTTCTCATAGCTTACTAAGTTTCAAAACCATGTATTGCTCATACTGTGAGAAATATTTTTTCTCACGGCACTTTGCCAACACCACATACATTTCCATGGAGAATCAACAAAAATCGACCAAAACTTGGCTGCTGTTCAGCTTTGAATTGTTGTCACAACTGTCAGAAGTTTTTAAAATTCCGAAAAAACCGATTTCAAATTGGTGAGGAAATTCGTGAGTTATTCTACTTTGAATTCAGGCCATATTTTGGACCACGACGTTATCAATGTTGACCAGTTTAGTTGGAGAATAGCAATTACCCTTTAAAAGTGACCAATTTGGCCCACCCTGTACAGATCTTTTCAGGGACACCCTGTACAAAGCGCACATATTATCAAGTTTATTAGGTGTCAACGAAACGCAAAGAAATCTCCTATCTAGTTGGAGAATAGCACTTTCCCTTTAAAAGTGACCAATTTGGCTCACCCTGTACAGGGGGTGGCTGGATTTCGAGGCTCATCATTGGGATCTCGTAAACCGTAAGAGATACAGGGCCGGTAAAACTATGGCAAAGTTGCGCCATTTTATGCTGATCAAAATACCGCCTCAAAAGTTTAGAGATTCCGAATATTTCCGAAGACATTTGAAAAAACCGAATATCCGCGATTTCGTTCTTATTTTTTTCTGACTTTATTTGGAGTGATATGTCAGAATGAATATCATATTAGCATTGTCACTTTTTCTGCTCTATCCAATGGCATTAATAGATTCATGATCCAACTTTGTTTTTTTAAATGGTCGAAAAAAATGTGTTGTTCCTAAAATACTCTGATTCCAATTCTGAATCAAACGACATAGGTACAAGACTTTGCAATTATCCTACGTTTCGGACAAAAAAATCATTATCATTGTTATTTGATGATGGTTACGAGGAAACGAAACGTCGGAACAAAAATCTGATGACGACATCTTGTAGAGAAGGGAAAATGACTGCGAAATTGTCAATTTCATTTTAGTCTACCTCCCGGTCTATCTCTATTTTAATTCTGAGAAATGATCATTTTCTAATTTCACTATAAGAGATAGACCAAAATGAATTTGACATTTCCATAGCCATTTTTCCTCTTCTACGTTTCCTTCGTAACCATTATCAAATAACACTGATAATTATTATTTGGTGCAAAACGTAAGATATTTGAAGTGTTATACAGGGTGGGTCACGGTGGATGGCCTATTAGAAGTATCTGGAGAACGAAAAAACAGAACATTATGAAAATTAGGATGCTTCGATAATGGAACATTCTCTATTCGTCTAAAATGATTTCATCGATACAGTGTTGCCATTTCTATCTATCTATCAACTAGCAACTTCGTTATTTTAAATTGAGCACCCTGTATTTTATTGCATTTTCAGATTCTTCCTAAAGAGCTGATTTCATCAATGTATCATACATGGGGTCTAGCAGGAATGATTACAGAGATATAGGGTGCTCAGAAACGAGATTTTTCAATTTTGGGATTTTTTTATGTCGAAACTATTCATTATCGATCAAAACGGTTTACATGTCCCTATCCAAACTTTTGATCCACTAACTACTGACATTCAATTGGAACACTTACAGGGTGACCAGAATTCTGAATCTTGAAGCACCCTGTATTTTTCCCAATTAAATTCCAGTAGATAGTGAATCAAAAGTTAAAATAGGGACATGTACGCCGTTTTGATTAATAATGAATAGTTTCGATACAAAAAAATCCTGAAATTGAAAAATCTAGATTTTGAATACCCTTTATCTCTGTAATAATTTCTGCTTGACCCCAAGTATGATACATCGATGAAATCAGCTCCTCAGGAAGAATAGAAAAATGCAATAAAATACAGGGTGTTCCATTCGAAATAACGAAGTTGCTAGTTGTTTCTGATAGAAGTGGCAACACTGTATCGATGAAAACATTTCAGACAAATAGAGAATGTTCAATTATCAAAGCATCCCAATTTCCAGAATGTTCTGTCTTTTCGTTCTCCAGATACTTCTAATAGGCCATCCACCGTGACCCACCCTGTATGTCGTTGAATTCAGAATTGGAATTACAGTTTTGTAGGAACAATGAATGTATTTTCGACCATTCAAAAAATACAAAGTTGATGATGGCTCCTCGAAGACGAAACGTCGGAACAAGATCTATTGATCCCATTGGATAGAGCAGAAAAAGTGGCAATGCTAATATGAAATTCATTTTGTCATATCACTTCAAATGAAGTCACAAAAAAATAAAAACGAAATCGCGGATATTCGTTTTTTTTTCAAATATCTTTGTAAATATTCGGAATTTCCAAACTTTTGAGGCGGCATTTTGATCAGCATAAAATTGTGCAACTTTGCCATAATTTAACCGACCCTGTACTGAGCCTCAGCTGGACAGAGGGTCCCTTGTTTGGTACACCGATGGTTTGAAAATGGAAGAAGGGGTAGGCGCGGGTGTATATGGACCCGGATGTAGGCTTTTTGAAGCCTTAGGTCACTCCTCCACTATCTTCCAAGCTGAAATACATGCCATCAACCTTTGCGCCCAAAGGTGCCTGAGCAAAGGTCTGAGGGGTGCCAACATATTTATCTGCTCAGACAACCATGCCGCACTAAAACCCCTAAAATCATTCGTTTTCACATCAAAGATTACATGGGACTGCTTTGAAACACTCATGCAACTGGGAAAGGGCAACAAAGTCACACTTATGTGGGTTCCAGGGCATGAAGGAATCGAAGGAAATGAGGCAGCTGATCGCCTTGCAAAAAAAGGTGCAGCATCTGCACTTTTTGGTCCTGAGCCTTTTTGTGGGATAAGCAAATGTCACCTAAAAGGAGAACTCGGGAAATGGGAAGAAATTGAAAAGTCCTCCTACTGGAGAGCATCTCCAGGTCAACGACAAGCGAAAAGGTTCATCAACCATTCGCAGAACCGAGCCAAAGAGCTACTCAGCCTCAGCAAACCAGAGCTAAAGCTTATCACAGGCTTTCTCACAGGACACGGCCCTCTGAGGTACCACCTCAAAAAGATGGGTCTGGCGGAGACTGACACTTGCCGCTTTTGTAACAATGCGACCGATACCGCGGAACACATACTTTGCTCATGTGAAGTATTAGTCCGCCAAAGGCTGGACCACCTAGAACAGGTCTATCTCACCCCTGTTGAATGGGAAAAGTCAACCGTCAGGAAAATCGTAGGCTTCATCAGAAGTCTAGGGTTAGAGGACCAAAACTAGATAGGGATAATCACAATAGATCTTCTAGGTCGCAGTGATCGAGAGGTCTCCCAGCCTATACGACCCATCTACAATCTACAATCTACAACCGACCCTGTATCTCTTACAGTTTACGAGATCCCAATGATGAGCCTCGAATTCCAGCCACCCTGTACAGATCATCTCAAGGACACCCTGTATAAAGCACACCTCGAAGCACACATATTATCAAGTGAATTAGGAGTCGACGAAGCGCATAAAAAATCAGGATTCAGACTCGATCTTACCTGATGTATGGGAAAATGCGATCGGTAGTTTTCGGGATCCGGCGATCTGACAACGTCGGCGATCTCCATGCAGCAGGCCAACGTTTGCCAAGGTTCGTCCGACTTCGACCACCATCGGTAGCCCGTCAACGGGTTGTCGGCTGAATCGAGGATGACGTCCATGTGCTCGTTGGCGTATTTCAATCTAGGAACAAAAGTAGCATATACAGGGTGACATAGAAAAAAGTACATTGTCACACAATAGAGGACACTAAAATAAGAAAAAAAGTTCCCATGAACTTTGGTTAAAAGATACGGGGTGTTGAGTTTTAATTTTCTTTTGGGTTTTTTCGAATATCTTTAGCCACAGTTCAGTTATTCCATTCCATTCCATTCATTTATTTGTCTGAGATAAAATAAATTCGATTGATAGCTTTCTATAACAGCAGGTATATAAGTTTCCTTACATTCTACAAAATATTCAGAGGTGAGATCATCTAGACAAAAAATATCAAATAGTGATATTTGATTTTGATAGGAATGGAGATAGTTACAGATGTTTACAATATATTTCGCATTCTTATAGCTATATATTAGAATTATGTCACCTAGGTGAAATCACACCTATATGTGTCTTGAATGGAAATGTTCGAAATGTTCATGAATATTTTAGTGAGAAAGATTGTGATGAACTGTTAATATATTCATATGACATGATTTAAAGTATACAGAGAAACTAAAAGTGTATACATTATCTTAAGAAAATATTATTATACAGTTTCGAATAATTTTGGAAAATATGTATTTTGCAGATCTTTTTGAATCTATATTTTTGTAACAATGTTATAACATTTGGGTCCTGAATAGTTCACACAATTTTTGATATACTCACTGTTCGGCTTATCAACTACAGGTTACTGATAAGGATATGATATCCGAAATGAGTTTTACTGGAGTTAAGTCATATAACCTCTTTGTGAGAGATATAATTCCCATATCACTGATACGAATGATTTTTTTTGGAAGTTCCAAGCTCATCAAGATCATACAAGTATACTTCTCCTATAAATATCAATTTTCATTTCAATACTGAACATATCGGTAAGTTATATTTTTATATTATAATACATCATATTATTCTATTCGATTTGAGAGATAATGTCAATTCTCAATTTCAGAGGATTTTGATTTGCTCTCTTTTTGGATATTCAACAGATATAATTCAATGTTCGACGTGGCCAGGATAGTAGTTGTTTTCTGTTGAATACTCAGAATGATATTATATGCATATCTTCATATGAAGGAGAATGCAAATTCTCTATTTCAGTAGATTTTGTTTTCAAATCCTTATCGTGTGTGTTCAATAGATATAATTCAATATTCGTCGTGGCATATAGCCAGGAAAGTAGTTGTTTTCTGTTGAAGAAACCGAAAAAGAATTGATATTTTCATCAAATAACTTGTTATTTTTATAGACCTCAATTGCAGATTCGTGATTAGGTTTTCTCAATTCAGAATTTCTTTCCACGTCCTGTATGATGCATATCAATGTATCATGCATCCAAAAATAGTTTGTTTTATTCACGTTTTTGACGTGTTCAATTATTACTCTCACCTTTCGCTAATCGGATCTCTCTTCTTGAGCCCGGTCAAATTGATCAGGTGGATCTTCAGCCAATCGAGCCCATCGGGCCCGAGCGGCCGAGACTCGGCGAACACGAGCATCGAGCGCGCCAAATCGGAGCCGAGGTGGTTCAGGTGGGGCGGCACCGGGTAAACCCGCCCCCTGAAGTCCATGTTGTGGGGCAGCCAGAACACGTCGTCGCGAAACTGCAACCGAAAATCGATCGGTTGGTCACTCACACGTTCTAACCTCAAATCTATGACAAAGATGATACAGACCCTAGATAGACAACATGTAAAAATGGGCAACGCTCAGTTGAGACTTAACAGAGCTGTGCGCATCTAATCTGATATAGTTCCTGCATATTAATCTCGCGGGGACTGCCAAGGAAGGAACAATTGTTGATATTTCAGAAGAGCATCGTCCATGAAAATATCTATAAAATAGAGCAAGATCGCCAACTTTTCTACGGTGTTCCAGAGAAGTGAGTGAGTTTGTGAGCGAGGCATCACCCACGAGACGAATTGACCTTTTTTGGACAGAATCCAACAGTTTCAGGGTATGTTTGGGTGCTGCACTCCAAATATAGGAACAGTATTCCAGGACAGGTCGGATCTGTGCCTTATAGATCATAAGCAGCTGACTGGAAATGAAATATCTCCTGGCCCGAAACGGAAAACCAATTTTTGTTATTATTTTTGTTCGGACTATTGAGTATCATTTTTGAAATTATCATTGTTTCAATGCACTCCAATTCAACCAATGGGTGATTACCTGGATTATCAATATTTGGCACTGCTAAAGCTGGAGTTCTATTATGTGCGGCAGCAATAGGAGCTTTCGCAAATCGAAAATGTCGTCAGTTCAAGATGAAACTTCTGAATAGAGGAAGAAATATGGAAAAAATCTGAAGGTTTCTTTCAAGCTATACAGGGTGTATCTAAATAACACCGGAAAAATTCAAGGGGTGATTCCTTGTAATATTTTAGGAAATAAAGTTCATATAAACATGTGTCCTAACTTGTTTCGTTTTCGAGATACAGGGCATTAATATTTCCATGAAAAAACTGTTTTCTATACATTTCTCAATTGTCTTTTGATCAATTTCAATAAAACGTTGTGGTTATGTAAATAGTGATATGGAGCTTCTTCTAGTGCAATTAGATTCGAAATAATATTTCCAGTGGCGTCACAGTGGGTGAGTTTATCGATATTCATGGTGAATGTCATTGTACACCACCGGAGTTTCATATTTTCATTAGATTGAACTATTGAAATACCAACTTTATTATCCTCTGTGATTTTTGTATCTAGCTTAGTTCTTGAGGAAACAATAAAAATTCGATGTGACTCCAAATTGTAATGTAGGTGTTTTCAAGAATTCCATTGAGATTACTCAATAACCCCAATTAGAATCATTTTGAAATTTTGGTGCTTTCTCAGTCTTCATCCATACTCAATTTTGGCACCATGAAAGCTTAAACAGGGGGTTATGAATAAAAACAATAAATACTTCCAACTTCAACATCCTGTATCTCAAAGACACATGTTTACATGAACTTTATTTGCTAGAATATCACAAGGAATCAGCCCTTGAATTTTTTCGTCGTTATTTAGATATACCCTGTATACCTTCATGTCCAAGAGAACAATCACGAACCCCAACATTTTTTCAAATATACTCGTATCGATTCGAATCTTTGATATCGATAGTACTCGATAAAATCTTCAAAATGAGTTATCACCCCTCATCCCTATCCAAAATCAGGGGGTTGTGCTTCCTCCTGATAGGAAGTTCAAGTTATGGGGATGAAAAAAGCAGACGAATCGTTGCCCCTCAAAATAAGAATTCGACTGGACCAAGCGTTTTTCTGGATTTTCATTTTAAACCCTTAAAATCGCGGTGTAAAATTTTTATTGAACCCCCCGGTATACCTGGAATATTATTAGTCACAGATAAATTACTTGTTCAGATTTTAATCTACAAGGAAGGTGACGTAATCAATAATGTGGACAGTCATCCACAAAGATGAGTAATGGTGATGTAAGGATGATACATAGGTGACCGTTCGAGTCATTCTTGTTCTAACGTTTGCAGAAAGCAGATCGTTATTATTATAATTATTATTGCACATGAAATGTCAGCGCTGTTTGAATATAGTTTGTTGAGATAGTGAGTGTTTCAATAATTGTACCAGCTACCGACTACATCAGAAGTGGGTGTAACGAAAACGCCAGGGAAGATGCCAAATCATTTCAAAAGAAGAAGACATTCTAGGAGATCCCGTTCCCTATCGCCATCGGTAACTTCTTCGGCTTCAGATAGATCGACAAGGCATAAGAATAGACGGTACTCCAATCGTAAGTCTCCCAGAAGTCATAGACATAAAAGGTCTCGAGACGATGTACGGGCATACGGGCAAAAATATCTTGCCAAATAGTCATGTTGAGATATCATCAGTTATTCCGGAGTTTGATCCTTTGAAATCACAAATTGTTGTTGTTGTTGTTCTGAAATTGTTCTATCCGTCATTCGGTTGCCCCCTTACGAGCAACCCTCAGAAGTCTTCGAGAGTCTTGTGCGAGCAAGGAATGACGGGGGCCTTACCTTTTAATGTGTGATCCCAAACACTTTCTTGGGCCATCAGAAAAATTTCTGCAGTCGTTGGGAATCGAACCCACGACCGGCAAGCGAATGCGAATTAGAATACCGACACTCTGTCCGCACGGCTACCTGGCCCCTAATAGAAGAATGGATTGAAATTTTAGAACATAATTCCAAAATGTATAAGTAGGCAGCTTTTTGGTTTATCAAGCTTTGAATGAATTGAGAGGTAAGGCTTAATCCTGGTATCGAAAGTGAACTAGGCTGGTCGAAATTTTCATGGGACGAATGGAAAAAAATACTTTGTTCCACATTTCAGAGGAAACGGAATACTCACGAATTGTTCATGGAAATAGCCAATCATAAACCGAAAAGATGATGTTCCCTTTATGAATTCCATTTCCAACATATGTCAAAAATCAATAAATTACGCGCAAATTTCTCTGATCATGACAAAGTATCATTAATAGTTGGAGCCATAAATGATAATAATCTAACATATTCTGTTGAGGCTGCTGGTATTCAGAATCTTGATTTGTTGGCTGCTTTTTTGAAAAATCGAACTTACCAGAAACAAAAAAAGTTAGGAAATAGTCTCCTCCATTACCAAAACCTTATAACAACGGATTATATAAAAAGAATGACAATGAATCGACTGGGTATAAACTCATTTGTGTAGCTTGTGGTGCACAAGGGCATCATTGCACACATCGAAACAAAACGTGTGAATTCTGTAAACGTGAGGGTCATATAGTAGCTGTTGAGTGCTAACATCACAAGGGAAAGTAATTCACCTGATTCTAGCCCTGTTCTAATGGTGAATAAAGGAAATTATGAAAAACGTATGGTAGTAGACTATCGTTCCCTAAATTCAATAACAAAAAATAATTTCCCTGCCACTCATTGACAGTTTATCAGATTGCAAATATTTTACCACACTGGCATGTGGTTACCATCAAATCCAACTGGATGAAAAATCAATTCCGTATACCTTTCATGACACCCGAAGGTCATTACGAATATTTACGGGTTCCATTTGGTCTCTGTAATGCTCCGTTTCCCTTTCATAAGATGATGAACGACATTTTTCAACCCTTGCGAAAATATAATATTATCCCATACCTAGACGATATTCTGATTCCTTCCAAATCAATTGAAGAAGGACTTGAACTTTCGGAAAAAGTTCTAAGTATGATCAAAGAATACGGCTTAACCATCAAAATATCCAAATCATCATGCCTCATGACCGAAGTAACATATTTGGGCTATGAAATCTCCCTGAACAAGTTAACACCTAGCAAACCGAAAGTAGAGGCAGTGAAGAAGTTTCCTTGTCCAAAAACAGTACATCAACTCAGACAGTTTCTTGGGCTCATAGGTTATTTCAGAAAATTCACGAGAACCACTTCTAGTTTTACAATATTATTGAAGAAAGATGTCACATGGAAATGGAGAGCTGATGAAACCCATATCTCAAAGGTATTAAAAAAATTAATTATTTCCGACCCCATACTCATTATTTTCAACCCTAAATTGGACACTGTCGTCTCCACTGACGCTAGTAGAGAGGGTTTAGCCTGTATTCTTGTACAGATTACAGATAAAGGAGAGCAGCCAGTTGCCTATTACAGTAAACAAACTTCAGAAGAAGAAGAAAAGTATCATTCATTCGAACTTTTAGCTATAGTTAGAACTGTGGCGACCGGTACATCAGCGTCGTTCGGATCAACGGCATTCGCGTGCGGGAAAGTATGGGAAAGTATCAATTTCCGCACTTGTTATGAAAATTACCATTTATTCATCAAATAGTTCAGCTTTCTTCCTAAAATTTTTTGGTACGGCTGGCTGACCCTGCCTAGAGTCCCTGTATGTATAATTCCCTGTATATATTTGTCAGTTTTGTTGTAATAAGAGTACGGACACTATGACAAGCAGTGACGGAAGGCATAACCCCAAATTCTTAAAATGACTTTTGAACAAAGACATTAATTTGCTTTTCCATGCACTTCGGATCTTCTATCCTCTACTGCCGCGGTGAAGGGTACATCCATATATCTTTCTCTGTCTTTATTTTCATAAAAAAGTGGCGTCTCATCTCACTGGCGAAAAGGGGTCATAGTTTGTAGGTCAATTTGTTGAAAGTATTTCTCGATATACTTAACAAAGGGTATATGTACTTCAATTTATTTGGTTTTAGGATGCACTAATTTTTCAATAGATAGAGTCAGGATTTAGTAGCCAGTTCTGATGGGCAGAATGTAAATGAATGGGAAGAACAATTCAACCAATTAACAAACTTATATTTGTTCTCATGACATACTAAGACACTTCATATTAATTGAAAAAATTTAAAAAAAACTAGCTTTTACAACATAACAGTATAAATTATCAAATTTTATGTCTCAGAGCTGTAGAGGTACTTGGTACTTGATCTGGAACACAATCTGCACAATGAATCATATTCGATGGTGTACATATCTCGTGAACTCATGGTCACAATTTACAAATTGCGACCAATAATATGCCGCAGTTGAAAAAATATGAGGCATAATACCCCATATTGCATCATATGACAAATAAAATCCAAACACATATTTATTGAACGTATAACGGAGTGTTCCGTCAAAAAAAGAGGAGTTTATGGATCATTCTTCGGCATCCTCTTATTATAATTGACCGAATCTACTTAGAACTTCCTTTACCACAATATATAACTTAACATCAGTACATATTTTTCACGGTTCTCACCTTTATATTGACGTTATTAACTGAAAATCTAATATTTTGGTTGGAATATATTCGATAATCCTTCTGATGATGGAATGAAGGCTCCGCATTTTCTTTCAATTTGATGGTATGTTCCACTATGAAATCTTCACATTTGAAACTCGTTTCCATTTTTGCAATTCTCCACTACACAATTAGACATTTTAATTTTTGAAAACCTGAATTTTCAAATAATTTAATGTCATGTACGTTCATGAACTGTCAGTGCCCGCCAAATTGTTCATGTCATTTAAAATTTTTTAGGGTTATGCCTTCTGTCACTGCTTGTCATAGTGTCCGTACTCTTATTACAGCAAAAGTGTCAAATACATACAGGGAATCTAACCCTGCCGTCTCTGACGAGCCGTCACTGTACCTATCCAATACATAAACTGATCGAGAAAAAATTAGGACATTTTCAAATGAAATTATATAATCAGTAAAATATCTGCACTTTATAAGAAATCACTGAAAGTAATGTATCGCCTCTCATTTGATATCCCAACAAATGATCTGTTTGCCATAACAGAAAAATTTTCACTGGGTGAATTGTATAAAATAGATTCTCTCAAAGTTTCATATAATATCATGAACAATAATCTGATATCAAATTTTGTTTTGATAAGAAACTCAGAAATTCATGGTAATCACACGAGACAATCAAACTTATTTCATCTTGATTCTGCTACTTCTATGATTGGCCAAAAAGAATTTACTCACGTTGCTTTAGCTGAATTCAATGAATTACCACATAAGATAAAAAATTGCACATATATTTGATAATTTAAAATTGAATAAAAAAAACACATGACTTTATCACGAAATGGATAAATTCGAAACTTTGCCATCTACTGATTAGTCCCTGTTGCTATTTTTATGACTTGATCAATTTAGCATTTTAAGATTTTTTTGTTGTCACCTTATGTTAATTTATTTTATCGCTTGGAGCGCACGAAAGGAAATCCATATAATGTCTAAAGAACATCGTGCGTTCCTAGTGAGGACAGGGACAGGAATTAGGTATTGCAATTTTTTTTGAACTTCTGGAGATTATATGTTGTTGGGAATACTTCTTCAGGCAATGAATTCCAGAGCCTAGCCGTTCTATGGATGAAGGAGTTTTGATGAAGTGCTGTTAGACATCTTTCGAGGTTGACAACGAAACGATGTGCTGACTGGGCTTGTCTAGTTCGTCTGACTGGTATTGCTAGTGAAGGGATGATAGCAGAGATTTCCGAAGAACATTTCCCGTGGAAGTATCGATAGAAAAGTGAAAGGTCGTCGACCTTTCTACGGTGTTCCAATGATGTCATAGAGTGAGTGACTGTGGCGTCACCCACCAGGCAGATGTCTCTTTTCTGGAAGGAATCTAAGAGCATCAGCATATGTTTTGGTGCTGAACCCCATATGTAGGAACAGTATTCTAGAACAGGCCGTATCTGCGCTTTGTAGATCATGAGGAGCTGTTGAGGTGTAAAGTAGCTTTTCGCACGGAACAAGAATCCGAGTTTTTGTGAAGCAGCTTTTGCGATGGATCTGACATGATTATCTCATGAAAGAGTGTTGCTGATGGAAATACCGAGCATAGATATGGTGGTCTTGGTGCGGATGGTGGAGCCAGACATTACAATATCGGTCATACTGAGTTCCGCCTTTCTAGAGAAAATACAGGCTTGAGTTTTGGTGGCGTTGAATTCAACTAGGTTGTTGGTTCCCCAGGCTGTGATTTCAGCAAGGTCCTCATTGACAGCATTGATCCGCCTGCGCCGTGAGTTCTTAGTTTCCTGGCAAGAAATGGAAATTCTGAAAGAGGAGGGTGCTATCATCTGCAAAGCTGTGGATGGGGCAAGTTGTTACTCCCAACAGATCATTGATATGAAGCAGGAATAAAGTTGGTGCCAAAATTGATCCTTGTGGAACGCCGGAATTGATGCCAATGGTATCAGATGATACACCGTCCACCACCACGTGAAGCGATCTGCCTGAAAGAAAACTCGATAAGAGATGACATAGCTGAGGTGGTAAACCGTATGATAGTAGTTTGTGGAGGAGTCCTTCGTGCCAAACACGGTCGAATGCTTTCGATATGTCCAACGCGATTTATTGATTTGTAATCAACTTCCTCATACCAGAATTTTATATCTGACTGGAAGCTATTTTCTCAATAAACAATAAATCAATATTTATACCACATATCTTCTAGAAAAATGTCTTCATTGCAAAAACACAATATCCTTAACTTTTTTCGATCAGTTTAGAAACACTCACAAAAAAAAATATAAAATACTGTTGACATCAGAATACTCACATGATTGGCCAACGACAATCGATAGAGGCAGTCGCACCACAGGGAATACATTTCGGCTTTTTTTCTTCTGTACTGCATCCGCTGCCTGAACAGCTGATACCGCTCGGCCTTGTCCATTTCATTAGTAGGCTGCGACGGAGGCGTCAACGAGGAGGGGGGTTCAGGGACGTCCAGCCTAGACGAACCGCCGTCATTGAATACCTGAAAGTGAGATTGAGATACACTACACTGTTTAACCACTAACCAAATCGATTTTTTAAACGCCTCGACAAGTGTTTCGCTAACTATGTTAGCATCTTCAGGAGAAGATTGAAACTAAATATCCTATTTCAGTGTGCTGCTTATATACTAGGTTTATGTTCACTCAACCGTGAAAAATACTAACCGTCAAGTTAATGTTTGTCATGGTTGAGTTCACATGTTAATCTTAATTTTTATACTACTAAACTATATAGAGGGCTATATGAAATAGGTGCATTATCCTTATTCATTAATCTATTACAATTCTTAAATATCTCTAAGCTTTCATATGCGTCTAATTTTTCAATATTATTAACTTGCTTAACTAATTTGAGGTACATAATATGTGTGTTATCGGCTACATAAGATTTATCTGACCTGCCATATTTAAAATGGGCCATGTGTTCTTTGAACCTTGTTTTTATGGATCGCCTGGTTTGGCCTATATATGTTTTATCACAATCATTACAACTCATTTCGTATATTCCCGACTATTCGGGAACACGAAATAAGATATATTCTGATGCTACTCCACCTGCAACACAGTGTCCAGTATCCTCCGATTCACCCGCCAAGGCACCGCCGCCAGCTGATTGAGCGAGTCCAAGCTGGGATACAGCTGTCTCGTCCCCGCCTCCGCCATGCGCTGCCGCTGGGCGGTCGCTTGCTGGGGCAGCCTCACGACGTCGCAAGGCGAAGCGAGGTAGCCGCCCGTCTCTGTGGACACCCAAGGAACGGGCGGACACAGCATCGGGACCTCCCACGCGGGGAAGGTCAACGTTTCGGGCAGCGAATGACGGTAGAGCTTCGATAGGATCGGGTGTGGCTTTACCTGTGGAAATGTTACCAACTTCATGAAAATCTGCGTTTTTTCTGTGACGGGAAAAATTTTGGTATTTCATCTCTGTTGGCAGGTTATAAAATGTCACTTTTTATGGAAAAAAAGTAAGTACTATTTTCCCGGATATATATCACATACAGCGTGTCTCACTTTAAACGCCCCCCCCCCTCTATATCACAGTTATTAGTCATGCGATTCCAACCAAATTTGGTGTGGTATGAATAACCATCAATATGATCAGTGTTACAGAGATGCAGATTATTTTGGACAGTGCCGTGAGTTTTTATTGAACTGAAAAGGGTTCGATTTTTCATAAAATCATATTACGCATTTTTTTACAGCAGGAAATCTAACCTCATATTATTGTTCTTCATGTTTTCGAACCTCCATATGCAAAAAATCACCTAATCCCGAATCAACAGGATTGGCTTCATTTTCTTCATTTTCAGTTTCAAATAAATAGTGACTTCAAATCAACTACGAAGTTTGGAACGTTCAATGGCTCCGGTAGGTGAAAAATCATGATTTGGAAGGAAACACGAGTTACACTTTTTTATGTTGAACTCACCGTTTCCGAGTAAATAATTATTACGTTCGCAAAAATGCTGTGTAGATGTGCGTGTTTCTCTGAAACCCTACATAGGCATCTCATGAAAATGCACATATTATGTGGGTTTGAAACCATGAAGAACAATATTATGAGGTCAGTTTTCCTGTGAAAAAATGCCTAATATGAGTTGATAAAAAACTGACCCCTACTCATTTCAATAAAAATGCACGCCACTGTCTAAAATGACTTTCGTCTTTGAAGAACTGGTCATATTGATGATTATTCATACTGATACAAATTTGGTAAAGATCGCACGACTGATAGCTGAGATATAGAGGGGGGAGCGTTTGAAATGAGACACGTTGTATATACAGGGTGTCCCATAAGTCGAGGATCAAAAGAAGTGGGGTAGTAGGGGGGGGGGTCATTTCAAATCAAACTAACCATATATGTGGTTATCCAATTGTTGATGGTTAAAAAGTTATTAATGATTTTTCATTTCCATAAAAATAATTGATTGCAATTAAACTATGTTACATTTGTAATTTTTTCTTCCACAAATTTTATCCACATGGATGCACCTTTCACCAGAAATAATTTTATGACATGTAATACTTCTTATCAATTACCTGAGAACAATGTTGTTCCTGGATTTTGTCATCGAATGAAATATTCAGGAATAGATAACCAATCATATGAAAAAGTTGCTCATTTAATACAGATTCCGAAATGGTATAACATATCGGGTTATTCAAAACAGCCTTTTTGTTATTAATTTTTTTCGAATGGGTCACATTTTGAAGATAAATTGAATAACTTTTGAACCATCAACAATTTGATAACAACATATACCGTTAGTTTGATTACAAATGATCCCCCCTACCACCCCACTTCTTTCGATCCATTACTTATGGAACACCCTGCATACACTATTGATGGCTTTTGTTGTGCTATAGTTCCGAAAAATGAGTGAATAATACCGTCTCCGAGAAAGAACTGCAAGTCTTTTTATCATCCATTCGACTTCGCGGTTACGTATATTACTAAACAACCACTAAATTCGCAATTTCTTGAAATCAAATCACAAAATTAAACTGACAGAAGTGACATCAGATATTTGATTATTTCAAAAGAATGATAAAAATGCCTACAACGCAGGTGTCCCTACTGTTAAAAACTTCACGTCGATAATTTTCAGATTTCAAAATAATGTAATATCTTCTCAATATTGATTCGTCCTTTCTTCTGTCACAGAAAAAAAATGTATTATACACGAGAAAAATATCAGATTGTAGCTCACGGTTTTTTGTCTCGGGAAAAATATTAGATTGTAGCCCACGTTTTTTTGTCTCCCTCCGCTATGCGTCGGGGGACAACACAACCTGGAGCTAAGTCTACTACTTTTTTCCCTTGCATAATAAATAACTATTTTTTTACTGATTCGGCGATTTTTTTTCACTGATAAAATACTTATACAGTGTGACCCACTTCTAATGGAAACACCCCTGTATCATACGTAATCGTTGGGTGAGGATTCTGAAATTTGCTGGAGCGACAGATATTCCTAGGAAATTTTTAGTTCAGAAAAATTTAATTTCACTTCTCATGAGGCGTTTCGGGCAGAGAGTGACGGTAGAGCTTCGATAGTATCGGGTGCGGCTTTACGTGTGGGAATGTTACCAACTTTATAGATAATTTGCGTTTTTTTTGCTGATTCGGCCATTTTTTCACTCATTGAATACTTATATAAGTACACTGTGTCCCATTTTGGTTGAGACTGCACTGTATCTCAGCTATTATTGAAGATAGAGACATGCGGTTTTCGCGACCCTGTATCACTTTTTTGTAAAACTTTCAAAGCCACAAACAGAATTATTCCAACTACTTTTGTTCCTGAACTACACGGCGAAACGAAAATGTTCAGTTTTGGAGATGTTATAATTTGTCAGGCCCCGTATAAGATGGGAAAAAAATGAAAATTGCTTATAATAGATATTTTTTCCTGAATACACTGATATATCTTCATAATCTTTATTACATTTTATCTTCAAAAATCTGAAAAAACCATATCTATATTTGTTTTTTTTTTATAAAGGGCAAGAGTAATGACGAACTATGGAATCAGTTCAATATTCTATAAAATAGTTTCAGAGTGCAACAAAATACCATTAAATATAAAAAGAGAAGGTGTAAAAAAATTCAAAGCTTTGTTGAAGTCTCACATTCCACTGAAGTTATGATTTGTACAGTTAGCATAAGGAGATTAGGAGGTTGGATTTAAAAGGAGAACAATTGGATACTTGTGTATAGCATATAATATAGTCCAGTGAAAAAGGTTACCCATATATTACTATTGCCATAGATCTAATTACACAATAGATGGTCAACGTATATGGCGAACATTCTGCCTGTGCGAATTATTTGCCATCTATTAGGTAGTAGCCGAACGTCTAAAAATAACAGATCGCTAATTTTTCATAAACCTTAGCTAAATCAGAGGGTGTGTATAATCTCTGGGTAAATCGTAGGCGGGGCTTGTTCAATGGAATTCGTGTCTAAAAATAAACAACGTGGCATCGTAGAGGGGGAATGGGTAATATGGAATTATAAACATCTCAATATGGAAATTCATAAATCGTTGATCTAACCATAGATATCTAACTAATTACGGACTAAAACGGAATAATCGGATCATGCACTATTGAAGTTTCAACCATGAATCATAAAACGATAAAACGAATCATAAGTATATAAATTAAATACCTATGTTTTATATAAGTACCGGATCTATGATTTAGATCTATGACAATATATACCCTTTCATTTATTCCATGGGCGTTACTACTGCTTGGCAAGGGGGCTGTGCAACTCTGGCTAATTTGTTTTCTTGAAATATTCAGGTATCTATATTGTGATGGTATGAGGTTACCTACTGTGATTTAAGTAAGCAGGTGAGTTTAGTATCAGTAGTAATATCCCTAGGACATTAATAATAGACGAGATAATTTTATGACAATCGGAAGCTCCTTTCCAGGACGAGCTTGAGACATAAGACATAATATTATGACGCATTTGTCAATGTCGGAAAGATATTCAGCGGAAAATTTACTCGACAATCGTGTTGTCATAGTGATTGATAATTGCACTGAATGCAATTATCAATGTAATGTTGACATGATTGGGTGAAATTGTATCATAATTATGACACAAAATGATGAAATTCGAATGGTTGTTAGAACTGTCAAGAAATTTCCAATTAAAGGACTGTTGATGTCTCGAGTGTTTATGAAAATATGAATCAAGAAAAATTATTAAACAGGTAGGTAGATACCAACTAGAATATGTTTTTGTTTTTTTTTCGAGCGATCGAAAATGTTTATTTTGTTCTTCAATACTTTTTATACATTAATATGTACTGAAAAAATATCTAGCACAGATGTTTGTTTCTATGGACTTAACCTCACAAAATATGAATATTCGAAAAGGGATATCTATATGTATATCTAACTACTTGATCGAAAGGCATTTGATATTGACCAAAAACGATACGTTATTCCACATTAAATATCGCGCACGTCTCAATGTGGTGGACTTTTTCTTCTTAATCTCGAAAATTGAAAATTTTGCAATGATCATTCACTACTAAGTTATTTTTTCTTCGTTGTGAGATTGAAATAGCATTTTGGTTGTGCAACAATATGTATTTACTGGAATATTCACATCATATAGGTACATTTTGAATCTCAAAAGTATTCAGGTACTTCTGCAGTCTGGAAGATCATTCTGGAATTCAATTCGTAATAAAATAATTATAAAGAAACTAGTACGTATTACAGCTTGTTTTAATGAAATAATATCCAACATTGTTTAAGGAAAATATATAAGAGCTATCCAAACGCAAAAAAAACCAGGAAACCTGAATCAATTGAGATTACCTCAGAAGGTAGATATACTTATAATTTCTCAACTTTTCAATATACAGGGTGTCCCTAGACCAGTGGGACAGTTAGATATCTTCTGAACCAATAGGAATTTTCAAAATATTATAATGTCACATCATATCGCATTATGAGTGCTAACTTCAGGAATGACTATATTTTATACGAGGGGCGCAAGAAAGGCTCACAAAATCGAACATCAATTTTTTCAAATGGGACACCCTGTATTTCATTGCATTTTCATATTCTCCTTGAAGAGCTGAGTTCAACGACCTAGCACACTTGGGGTCTAGCAAGAATGATTTCCGAGATATAGGGTGTGGAAAATCGCGATTTTTCATTTTTGGGAATTTTTTGTGTCGAAACTATTCATTATTGGTCAAAACGGCTCACATGTCCATATCTCAACTTTTGATTTACTATTTACTCGTATTCAATTGAAACAAATACAGGGTGGTGTAGAATTAACAGTTTCAGTCAGAATTCCACACCACCCTGTATTT